CAGGGTTTCCAAGGAGCAGCTGGTGGATTCAAACTGCCAACCTTTTGATTAGTAGCCGAGTTCTTAACCACTGCAGCACGGTAGGCATATTATTTTGATTCTTAAATCCTGATGTTCTCCAGAGTTCCTCCTTTGCTTTTCTCACTCTACACCAAAAATCCCTTAACAGTTTTGAGTCCAAAACTAGGTCTGCAGCTAAGTGTTTTGTTTAGTCTGTATAGTGTTTACAAGCATTTTAAATTAGTTGTCTACATTTAAAATCTTAAAAGTTTTGTATAAAACTTTATTTCTTACTTTTGAAAAATTGGAAGTTCTTGCTCCACCCTGGATGTGTATTTCCATGCAACACCACTTAATTAGAGCTGAATTGCAGCTATTCTCTTTGGAATGGGCATGGATTCTCCAGTTCTTCACAGACCCCAATATTCTGTATTGTCTCCCCAACAGTACTGTGCAGTTTTTCTTATACTTGCCCTGCTTTTCACACACCCTGAGTAATCTCCAGTCTTTCAACTACCACTTAAATCCAAAATCCATTGCCGTTGAGTTGATTCCGACTTACAGCAACCCTGTAGGACAGAGCAAAAATGCCCCACAGGGTTTCCAAGAAGCGGCTGGTGCATTCAAACTGCTGACCTTTTGGTTAGCTGCAGAGCTATTAACCACTGTGCCACCAGGGCTCCAACTACCACTTAGATGCTGATAACTAAATCTATCACCAAAACAGACTTTTAGACTCATACAGCCAACTTTCTGTTGAATATCATACTGAAGGCAACTCAGACTCAACGTGGCTGAATTCATCTTTCCCTCTAAACTCCCGGTTCTGCTGATTTTTTATCCCTTAAGTATTTCACTGCTCTGTCCCTTCCCATCATTACCTTTTGAACTATATTGCAATAGCAATATAGTTGTCCTAAGCATCTTGTTAGGGAAGCCCTGGTGGCACAGTGGTTAAGCATTTGGCTGCTAACCAAAAGGTCAGCAGTTCAAATCCACCAGCTGCTCCTTGGAAACCCTATGGAGCAGTTCTACTCTGTCCTGTAGGGTTGCTATGAGTCGGAATCGACCCGTGGCAACAGTTTTTTTTTTTTTTTTTAAGCATCTTGTTAGGATTCTTAGTTGCAAACAACGGAAGTTATTTTTTGGCCAACTTAAGCAGAAAGGGAATATATTGAAGGATATTGGGTGGCTCACATAATCAATGCCAGCGCTAGAGAACCTGGTTAGAAAATGGTCTGAAACCAAGGGAGGCTAGGTCATAGAGAGCACAGCAACGTCACACTACTGGAAGAGTCTGTAGGATGCTGCTGTTGAACTCTAGGGTCTGCCACTGTTGAATATTGTCCACCTGGTTGGTCCTGGGTCTTTGCATCACCCTTTCAGAGTCAAAGTCCTCCAGCAGGAGTGTCCACTTAAACTAGCCTAGGCCATGTGCCTACTTCTACCTGCTAGAGAAAGGGAAAGGGAGCTCCCTCTGGTTCTGTACTGGGAGGTAAGACCCAGCTTCCTATTGAAGACTCTTATGTTAGTCCCTCAATATAGGAAGGGGGCTTTTGGTTGCTGAGCAGTGAAAAAAACAAAACAAACATCCACAATACAACTTTTCTGGATTACTACAGCAGCCTCCTAACTTTTGCAGCCTTTGTCCTCTTACCCATAATCTATATCCAGTAGCCAGAGTTCACTAACTAAACTGTAATTCTGATCACGTCATTCCACGTTTCAGTGGCTCTTCATCGCCCATGAGGAAGAACTTTGCTGTGGCATTCAAGGCCCTCCATGATCTGGCCCTTACCTATCCCTGCAACCTCACTTCTTCCAGTTTGTTCTTTGCGATTTACATTTTAGCAAAACTGAGCTACAGAACTACTTAGTTTCCTCTGCATGCCTCATGCTGTTTTCAGTGCTGTGCTTTGTACTGCCTTTCCTCTTACTGACCCTGCTGCCTGGAATACCCTTTACTTCTAGCCTTCCCTCCCCTCCCACCTGATTAACTCCTCCTCATCCTTTAAGAAACTACTTCCTTGATACTTTTTCCTCCTAAATTATTAAGTCCCTTTCCACTGTGTTCCTGTAGTACCCCCCTGCTGATTTCATTGCATATTCACATTGTATTATAATTGCTTCCTTTTGTCACTGTTGTCTTAGGGCCTACTCTTCACCCTTCCCCCACATATGCACACAAATACTTAACCTACTGTGAGTTCTTTGAGGGGAGAGATTATGTCTTAGTCGCATTTGGATGCCCGATATTAGCACAGTACTTGATATAGTATATGCACAATAAATGTTGAGATAATTAATGAAGAGGCATTAAATGTAGAATAAATAGGATTTTGATAAGACAAAGATGAAGTAAAGAACGCATATCATTTGAAGGCAACAGCATTAGCTAGGACCAGACTGAAAAAAAGTATATGGCAATCATAGTAATTTTTGGCTGGTGTGTAAGAGTATATGTAGAAGAATAGTAAGAAATAAGACTGGAAAGGCAAGATATGGGCCTTGATTATTAAAAAAGGAAATTGGACTTTATATCTTAAGTAACAGGAAACCTTTTTAAGCAGGAGATCAATTTGGCTAGACTGTGTTTTAGGAAGATTGACCTGATAGGAGAATGGATTAGTAGGGGGTGAGATTAGTTATGAGGAGGCTTCTTTCTCTTGGACAAGCAACTGCATGAATAAGGGAGGTGGCAGAAAAAATAGAAGAGAGGAGTCAGATATATGCATCCTGACGTTGCCACTTAGTTTTTGTAGTTGAATCACTTAACTCTCTAAGCCTGTTTTCTCATTTATACAACAAGAGAATTGGCTTGATAAGATTGCCAGACTTTGCCAGCTCCAAAATCCTGTGTCTGTGATATATTGCAAGAGAGTCAGTGGGACTTGGCAAATGATTGGATGGTGGCTACAGAAGGAGGTTTCAGAGACCTATCTTTGAAATTTTTAGCCTGAGTGAATGGGAAAGCAGTAATGCCTGTTACAGGAGTAGGTAATGGTTGATCCTAGCAACAGTGGAAGGAGCCCTGGTGGCACAGTGGTTAAGTGCTCGGCTGCTAACGGAAAGGTCAGCGGTTTGAACCCACCAGCCGCTGCATGGGAGAAAGATGTGGCAGTTTGCTTCCTTGGAAGCCCTATGGGGCAGTTCTACTGTGTCCCATAGGGTCACTATGATTTGGAATTGACTCAATGGCAACGGGTGATGCTAGGTTCTTTAGAAATAGGAAGGCTATGGCCTAGTTGATCTTCTTCCTAGTTTATGTTGTAGAGAACAGAAGATAGGATTCCAGTGTTGAGGATGGTTACTTTCAGGGGAAACTAGCGGTCAGGAGGTAAGCAACTGTTTTTAATAACAGTTTGCTTTGGGAGATTTAAGCTTGCATACCATCTTTCTGGGGTTGACTAGTCTCACTGGGAGTTAGAATTCAAGTGGCATTGTCAGGTGGACACTGACCAGTATGTTAGATGGGCTAAGTTTCATGAGAAGTAAGGTGAGGGTGGGAGGTGAGGCTTGGGGATGAGGAATGGGTGTGTGCTGGCATGGGGCAGAAATTGTTAGAGGGCACCCAGAAAGGATTGCCTTCTCTAGAGCCATACTGCCAAAGGGTTGGAGTATCAAGAATTCAAGCCAGCATTATGGGTTGAGGAACACTGGTGGCACAGTGGTTAAGGACTCAGATACTAACCAAAAAGGTCAGTGGTTACAACCCACCAGCTCCTCCGAGGGAGAAAGATGTGGCAGTCAGCTCCCGAAAAGAGTACAGCCTTGGAATCCCTGTGGGGAAGTTCTACTCTGTTCTACAGGGCCCCTATGAGTCGGAATTGACTGGCGGCAGTGGGTTTTTTATTATGAGTTGTGGCAGAAAGACTGCTTTGTCTTTTAAAAGGCTCGATATTGCAACAACTGGGCTGACTCACTTGCATGATGGAGGGAAGATTTGGCCCCTTTAATTGGGCAGTGGGGTAAGGTATAGTCACTACTGGAGAGGGGTTGACAGAGCTGCTGGAAGGCAGCGAATCCAGAGGGAGGCGGAGCTGGCCTAGTGCGGAACCCTCCCACCCGAGTTTACGCGCTTTGGTGTGCAGAATACAGTATAGGTGGTAGGGAATTTAATCCACAACACTGGTTTTCCGCAGCATGAGACCGTTTCTCTGGCCAGGCCCCCTTCTTTCAAGCAAGCTGCAGGCTTCGTCTTGGCCCTAGAAACCGGATAGGCCTCTCCGTGCGCTCTCAACCTAGCCACTGCTGGGGGAGGGGGAGGGAGAGCTCTGTTTAGTCCCACCCTTTGCGCCGTTTTGCGTGTTTGCGCCTTTGGTGAGTGGCAGTGGACTTTAGCCAATGGGGATGTGGGGCGGGCGGGAGCAGCAGGTTAGGTTGCGCAGGAGGAGGGGGAACTGGTGCTGGAGAGACAGCGAGAGGGGCGAACTGGCCCCCCACGGCCGCTGCAGGTAAAGCCACTTCTCTTCCCCACTGGGGTGAGGCACGGTTCCTTTACCTGTATCAGCGCTTGTCGGGCTTCTCAGCCTGCAGCTTCCGCTCTAACATTGCTCTTACCCTGGGCATCCACCCCCCCAACCCCCCCGCATCTTCCCTCCTTGGCCATCCCCACCCTGGAGGGCACCCCCGCTGGATCCCTCCTTCAAGTGCATATACCTCATCTCCATTTTGGGGGCGCCAGTTGCCAGAAACCTTCCGCCTCTGCTGTATGGGCCTTACTGGCACCAACCCCGGCAGTATGAGCAGGTAATGTTCCCGGGTTCCCTCCGCCCCCCCAGCCGCATTTTCCTCTCCATCAGCCCCTCACTTCCTTACCTCGCCCCTTCCCTTCCACCATATGAGTACATAATTTTTGTAATTTCTCCTTTACCCTCTGAACATGCATACATGGTTTTAGCTTTCATGGTCGTCTATTTTGCTTTTCCTATTTATTCAGAAGGGCTCACTTTACCAGCCATGTTTACCCTCAAGTGTCCATCCTGATTATGTTTTCACGTTCAGTAATTGGAAAAATAAAAACAGAGTGGCTACACATTTGGCAGTGAGAATGTAGATAGAGAAAATGACCTAGGAGCTCAAGATTCTTGAGAAAATCTCCTGAGTGTCTCCAACTTAAAAGCTCCATTTCTTATAGTCTGTATCCTTTCACCCTGATGGCTTGGTGACCCTAAATTGTAATTACATTTACCTTGGATGTTTATTTCTCTTTTCTGTATAAGATTTGAGACTCTTTGAGTCCCACGAATGTCTCCATGGTATAGTTTTTAAATGCTTCCCTTTTAAAATTATGTTGGTGATTTTTATTTTAGACTTTCTGATTATTTTCAAGGGAGTGCTTATTTAAATTAAGTTGCATATATCCATCTTGCATTTGAGTACCATGTGTTTTTATCTGTAGCTGATCTGCTTGAAAGGATACAGTTTCCACCTCCAAAATTTATACTTTGAAGTAAAATAGTTTATCCTTTCATGAATCTTTGAGCAGTTAGAGGTTAAGCAGGCATGGGTGTTACTTTCTAAAAGCGCATATTACAGAAGAGGGTTAGTCTTTGCCAATATGGCAATGTTCATTATCTTTTCAGAGGACGGGCAATACAGAGATATCTGTAAATGGAGAACGAGTGTCTGTAGTTCAGTTTATATAATTTTATCTGTTAGACAACTGAATTAATCTATTGCAGTATAATTCACCTATCATAAACAATAAACCATGATAAACTCCTCTTTGAGAGACTATAAGAAATCTTTCCACAGCCACAGAGATATATCAGTATCACACCCACCCAAGCCAGGCAAACTTCTGTCTCTGCCCCTACCCCCTTAGTGTTGTTTTATACAGATCCTCACTGGTCAAGAAGGTATTGTCAAGTTTTACTGACTTCACATATAGTGTAAACAGTGAGATTTTTTTTTCCCATTTGATAAACATAAAATTATAATACTGAATACACTTTTTTTTTTCAGATTACACATTTATCTCCACCCTTAATTCCCATAAGCCCTTCTAAAAGGACAGACCCTCCATTCCTTAGTTGAGAATCACTGCTTTGTTGAAAAGTATGGAGAGGCTGAGATGGAAAAGTATAGAGTAGCATTTTATGCCGTTTTGATGGGAAAGAGTGAGGAGGAATGTAAAACAGGAGATTTGAGACTCTAGATCTCCCCAAAAAAACCAGATGAATGTCAGTTTATACTTAACTTTGAGGGGCTCACTTTCTGTAGGATTAACAGTAGTTTCTCCTTTAATAAGGATATGAGATGAAGCGTGATTATTGCTCTATATAAAAGATTTCTCTAGAGGTAACTGGCTCGCTATTTGGAGATTATAGATAGGTGGTCTTGGGAATTTAACCTTAACTAATTAGTTTATTCCATTTCTCTCCCACTTCCACCCTTCAAGATTGCTGTTATTAGTCTGGTCATTAGTTTGGAATTGTGAAAAGTGACTACATAAATATAGCCACTAAACTCTTATCTTTCCTTTTGAACACATACATGTGTTTCTCTTATGGACAGTGGTGCGTCAAGAGTCACTTTTCATTCCCAATATGGTAAAAGTCTGGTAGGACGTCTTTATCTAGGCAGATGCTTTACCTAGGGATATCTAAATGCTTCATATATTTGAAACCTGCTTTAACATCCATTAATTTTTACTACCAGTGTTTGAACCATGGAAGAAATTTAATGACATAGATGAGCTTGATAGAATAGGCCAGATGTGTATACAGCCAGGAGGACCCACAAGTAGGAATAGAGGAGGGGTGAAGAAAGAGGTATGTTGGGGGAAGTTAGAGATATGTTCCTAATCTTAGGAAAATCAATTGCAGCTTAAAAATGGAAGCTAAAAACAAGTAGGAGACTAGGATAAAAAATACGGATGAGATGAATTGGGTCAGCAGAGGTGAGTTGATGGGATGGACTTGAGAAGTAATGATACTTGGTGGTGTGGCATTAAATCAGTGGAGAGGTTTGTTAATTATTGGGCCTAGACTAAACCAGGAGAAGCAGAGGTTTGGCCCAAAAATTGGAAAAGGGGAGGTAAGTGGTAATGCACTCTCCTTTAAAAGCTTATACTTGAGTCATAGAGGATAAAGAAATGTTTCAGGAACTGTTAGCTTTGTTTCTTCCATTAAAAAATGAGATTGCTCTTTGAGGTTGGGCCATTGTAGATAGAAGGATAAGCATTAGAAAGGATATGTAAATAGCACAGAATTGTGGAAAGGACAAAATAATCCATGTTAAAAATGTCAGGTTATAAACTATTATCAGTATAAGCTTCTAGTTAATGGAAACTGTTACTGTGGTTTGTGTATGACACCTAGCTGTTAGATATTTAGTGTAACTTCTCTCACAGTGAACAAGAGATGAAAGATAATAGATGGTAAAGTAGGGCATAACTAGAAAAAACTGATGGTAGTGTTGACTTGAGGAAATTTATAAAATTATTGAGTCGGTTTTCATTAAATCAAGATACACTCATAACTTTTCTGATTGCCATTTGGGGTAATTTTTAGGTAGATTTTAGGTAAGAGAGACTGGAATGAGTTCATGGAACAGTTTAACCAGGAGTGGGAAGTGATATAGATCCTGGATGAGATGTGAAGGGTATACGATTAACAAAGCAGGGAAGATCTTGTTAGCATTGGTGGACATGCCATGTATACTCTGTAATTTTGATCGATGTGCCAACTACTGAAATATCTGTTTTCTTTGTCTGTGTCAGAGTTTATGGGATATCATATTGTTTTATAAGAACAACTGGGATGGATTGGGAAAGGGAAAAATAATAGCTTGGGGGTTATGTGGAAGTCTCCTTTAGTCAAATCTATACTGTATCACTGACAAATTTCTTATCTTCTGTCTTCCAAAAGTTGGGACAAATGGTCTTACCAAGCAAGGCCTTCCTGGATTGTCAAACATTGACATTATACGCAAAGAACAGATAGTACTTTTTCATATATTTTAGTTACGTGGTGATGTACTTATAGTTTCTTGTCTTAGATAGTTTTCTTTTTCCAGTGTCTTTGTGGACTTAAAATTCCACATATGGATTTAGTAAACATCCTTTCAGTCATTTGTAGGACAGTTTTTAAAGATAGGAAGCTTTCTACTGTCTCATCTTAGAGTAAAAAAAAACACTTAGTTTTTGTGAGCACTGAATGGTTCAGTCCAGATAGTGCAGGCAAATACATTAATTCCTTAAATATTTTTTGAGTTGCTACTGTGTGTGTGGTACCCTGCTGGTTCCTCAGGGATCCATAGATATGGTCCCCATCATTCAGGAGCTTTCTGTCTCTTAGGGAAAGAGCAGCTGGGCCATCATGCAGGATTGTGCTGGGTGTGCATTGCACACATTCAGGATCATCAATTTATATATTTAGTATGACAGTTTTCCAGCAGATGGCGTAAAAGCATCTTGAGGAGCAGGCAGCTTTTTATAATTTGCACAGGAAACATTTGGGCCTTCAGGGGACATGGACAAGACACTCGTCTTTTTGGTAAAATATTAAATATAAGTGCCTTAAGTAAGGTGGAAACAATGCTGTGGGTACTCAGAGGAGGTGGAGGGATCAAGTCACCACACATTGCTTACCTGTTAACGGGGCAGAGGATGAGGGCTGACTTTATGCAGTAGAAGGCATTTGAGGATGGGTAAGATTTTAGCTGGGAGACTTGTTGCAGGTGGTGGGGATGTCCCAGTCAGAAGCTGCAGCATAGTAGGCAAAGTCACAGAGGTAGGAATCATGTTCAGGGAACTGTGTATTCTACATTTGGACTGGAATGTATGACATATATAGTAAATGGTGAGAGGGAATATTGGGAATATAAATTGGAGACAAAATGGAGAAAGTCTTGAATCCCTTGCAGAGGAAGTTTTTTTATCTTTAATATGAGAAAGATCTCTTGAGAGGAGACTTTAGATCAGAAATGCTAGGTATGGATTAATTGATATGTTAACTAGTCTAAAGTTTGGGAAACTCCCTGGTAAAATTGTACTATGAACTTGGTGAGATTGTACTATGAGTTTGGTTAAATGTTGTTAGTTTTGCCAGTAGGAAGCAAAGGTATCTAAAATACAGAGAAAGTTTATAAAATAGAATATATCCAGAAACCTTCATCTGTATTCACTGAAATGCTGGTGGTATATTTTTAAGTTCTGCCAATTCAGGACTAAAAATAGAAGATGAATGATGGTTAAGTTTCCTGATCTCTACCTGAGAATGATAACTGTAAAAAGAAATGGACAGAGATCGCTGACTGAATGCTATTGACAAAAAAGGAACTTAAAAGTGTGTAGGTGTGAGCCCAAAAAGGGGGTTGGTTTGATTTATTTCTTTTTTTCTTCTTTAGTTTTATTTTTGAAGCAGAAATGTGGGTGTTCTTTCTGCTGTGTCTCTATCCTCAAATTTCCTCACATTTCCCTCTTCTTTTATTTTATTATTTTGATACTATTAAGGGTAGTACCTAAGAAGGAGAAATTTTCTCTGAGGTCACCAACTTTGTTTATCTTTTATTTGTATTCCCACAACAGGAATTCTACCGTCTTCCTCTGAAGATCTAGCCATCTTGCTCCATGAAGGTCAGGACAATCTGACATGCACTTGTTTCTTGCCTCTTTACCTGAAGAGTAGTCCTCTTCCATTGTGTACATTTTTTTCTTAATAGGGGAGGGGAGGGGAGAGCCAATACCCCCCTCCCCTTCCCTCCCTGGGCTTTGGGGAATACCTTCCATTGCTTTACCAAGATGGCAGACCCCATCATGGATCTGTTTGATGACCCAAATTTATTTGGCCTGGACTCTCTGACTGATGACGGCTTCAACCAGGTCACACAAGACCCCATTGAGGAAGCCCTTGGACTGCCAAGCTCTCTGGACTCCTTGGATCAAATGAACCAGGATGGCGGAGGTGGTGATGTGGGCAATTCATCAACAAGTGAACTGGTCCCCCCAACAGAGGAAACAGGCCCTACAGAAATTCCCAAAGAATCAACAGTTCCAGCTCCAGAATCTTTAACCTTGCATGATTATACCACTCAGCCCGCCAGCCAAGAGCAGCCAGCCCAACCTGTCTTACAGACGACGATGCCAACATCGGGACTTTTGCAGGTCTCCAAGAGCCAGGAGGTCTTGAGCCAAGGGAATCCTTTCATGGGTGTCTCTGCCACAGCTGTCTCCAGTAGTACTGGAGGGCAGCCACCTCAGTCAGCTCCTAAGATTGTTATCCTTAAGGCCCCACCAAGCTCCTCAGTTACTGGTGCCCATGTGGCACAGATTCAGGCCCAAGGTGTCACCAGCACAGCTCAGCCCCTGGTGGCTGGCACAGCCAATGGTGGAAAAGTCACTTTTACCAAAGTGCTAACCGGCACCCCCCTTCGACCAGGTGTTTCCATTGTCTCTGGTAATACAGTGTTGGCCGCCAAGGTCCCTGGGAACCAGGCTACTGTTCAGCGCATTGTCCAGCCCAGCCGACCAGTAAAGCAGCTGGTCCTACAGCCAGTTAAGGGTTCAGCTCCTGCTGGAAACCCTGGGGCCACAGGGCCCCCACTGAAGCCTGCAGTTACACTGACCTCTACACCTACCCAGGTGACTTGAGTGAAAGGGGGAGGTAAATTTTGGTTTAGTAAAGGTCAGGCAACTATGTGAGAGAGCATATAAGAGCTATCTCTAGGAAAGCCTAATTAAATTCCATGCTTGCTTTTTATCTAAGCATCAATAGCCACATGCTTATTACTTGCTAGGTGGAGGCAGTTAAGTGGTGACATACTTTTTGAGCTCTTACTACGTGTTTGCAAAACACTGTGCCTAGCTGGTGCTGAACAAGACAGTCCCTGTCCTCACAGAGCTCACAGTCTGCCAAGGAAGACAGACATTACACAGAGATTCACAGTAATGTATGATACGAAGTTTTATGATATGAGAAATATATGAGGATACTATGGAAACAATCATTTTTGAAAAATGTATTTATTTGTATTGTAAGACTTAAGAAGGCTGTGTATATCTTTCCCCTGTTGTTATTACTAAGACTTTCTCTCTCTTACTCTGTTCATCTTGTAAGAAAATACATGCGCTAGCCTCTAAATAGCCTAAGAGTTTGGGGTTGGGAGGGGAATATTAAGATAAGTAGGACTAGCAGGAAGAAGCTACGAGGAGGCAGAGTTCAGTGTGGCATAAACAATTTTGTTCTCAAAGATTTCCAAACATGAAATGGCTGCCTCAGAAGATAGTGAGCCTCCTATCAGGGGTTTTTCAAAAATAGGCTTGATTACCACTGGGCAGAGATGTTGTAGAAGGGATTCTATCAGGATCAGATAAGAGGATGAATAAAATGAATTGTATTGTGTCTTCTGATCCTCAGTTCGCCTTTTATGATTCTAGGATGAGGAAAACTGGTGTAAATATTTAAGGGGATACTGTTCTTTCTAATGTTGTACCTCTCTTGCAATTTCTTCACTCTAGGGTGAATCGAAACGCATCACTCTGGTCCTCCAGCAACCACAGTCGGGAGGTCCCCAAGGACACCGGCATGTTGTGCTAGGAAGTTTACCAGGCAAGATAGTGTTACAGGGCAACCAGCTGGCAGCCCTGACTCAAGCCAAGAATGCCCAGGGGCAGCCTGCCAAAGTAGTAACTATCCAGCTGCAGGTGCAGCAGCCACAGCAAAAAATCCAGATCGTACCACAGCCTCCATCATCTCAGCCGCAGCCTCAGCAGCCACCCTCAACCCAGCCAGTGACTCTCTCGTCTGTGCAGCAGGCTCAGTTAATGGGACCAGGACAAAGCCCAGGACAGAGACTTTCAGTACCACTCAAAGTGGTGCTGCAGCCACAGGTGAGGCTTACGATTAGGAAGAAAAGGAAGACAATAAATCTCTTAGTACCTTGCCATTGCCCTCAAGCAAACACTTATTGAATGTGAGGCCAGTGGAGATTTATACCTCTGATCTGAGAGGCAGACTTTTTTATTTGTTCCATCCTTGTATTACTTTTATGGTAAAAAGATTAGATTGTTGTATTTGGAGACAGATGTTTATCTAGTATTTGTCTTTGAACTGTTTCATTTACAATCTTTTTCTAATATTCTTGTGAAATAAAAAGGATTTGAAATATCCTTTGATTTGTAGAATAAGAAAATAGACTTAAAGAGGTGACGTGATTATCACTCCACCCACCCCACAGAGGGAGAGAGGTAGGTCAGGAGTAGAATTTCAATTTTTTTTAGTTTTAGCCCAGAGACCAATACTGGCACTAGTAATTATAATTTTCCAGAATAATAGAGATGAATATTAATATTAGGAGCATGGCTAAAGGATTTTAAAGTTTGATTTGGCATAATTTTTACCTTTCCTTGCCCTCTTCACACCAAATAAATAATTTTTTTTTTTTTAATGTGTCTAGGTTCAGTAAGAATCTGAGCCTGGTTCTTGAGAAAGTAGAGAAACAAAGTTTCTGAAGAACCAAAACTACCTGCTTTAGAGCTGAGTTTTATTTAGGCCATTTAACTACAACAGATGTTGAAGTTTTGGTGTCTTTGTTTCTATAGGCTGGCTCTTCCCAAGGGGCCTCTTCAGGGCTTTCTGTAGTTAAAGTTCTAAGTGCCAGTGAAGTGGCAGCATTATCATCGCCAGCAAGCTCTGCCCCTCATACTGGGGGCAAGACAGGAATGGAGGAAAACCGCAGGCTGGAGCACCAGAAGAAGCAAGAGAAAGCAAATCGGATCGTAGCAGAGGCCATTGCTAGGGCCCGTGCCCGGGGTGAACAGAACATACCTCGTGTCCTGAATGAGGATGAATTGCCCAGTGTTCGGCCAGAGGAGGAAGGTGAAAAGAAACGCAGGAAGAAGAGCAGTGGGGAGAGGCTCAAGGAGGAAAAGCCAAAGAAGAGCAAAACTTCCGGTACCTCCAAAACTAAGGGCAAAAGTAAGCTGAAGTGAGTACCCCTTGCTATTTTAATGGGGCATTTGAGGGCAGTTCACTCATTTTTAAATAGTCTTTAAAGAAGCTACCTGTATTTATGAGGGCAGTTCACTCATTTTTAAATAGTCTTTAAAGAAGCTACCTGTATTTAGCAGCTATGTAGTTCAAGGTGATCTGTCATAGAATATAATAAGGTTTTCTTTTCTCTGTCCCAATGCTTGCATGATTTGTTAAACAGAAATTTGCAAATTAGCATATTTTAAAAGGGAAACACTCAGGCACAAGAGAGATAGCCAGTCATTGTGTTGGGGGTTACATTTAAAAGCTGTGACACTCTATTTTTTATATATTCTTCCTGATTTAGTACCAGTGTAGTGTGAAAGATGTCACACTGCCTCATAACCATTCACACCATAACAGAGTGCTGCTGGACACATAGCTGCCCTGTTCTTGCATTTCATCTGAATTGGAGTAGATTTCAGCAACCTCTGTCAACTTTAAGCTGTGTTGATAGAATTGTTGACTTGCCGCATAATTCTTGGCGACAATTCAACGTCCTTTCTTTCCCTTTCATAGCTTGTAGCTTTGCTCTTTTCTCTCTAGCTTCTGCTTCCTGGGATTCTCATTTAGGCTTTGTAGTATAATAATAATGCTTTTTTTTTGCGTAGGATTTTGGAGCTTTTAAAAAACAAGTTTTGTGTTAATTATCTTCAACATCTGTCAGAACAGGTATTATCAATAATGTTTCAAATAAGGAAACTAATGCCTGGCTAGTGACAAAACTGAGATGAGAAATGAAACCCCCTGATTCTTAAGACCAGTATTTATTCTGCTATATTATGCCCCATTCCTTCAAGTATTTGTGAACACAGTGGTAGCTAGGACTTGTCAAATCCGATGTGAGGGTCAGCCAGTGATTTACAAACCCCATTATCTTCTTTTTTCAAATATCCTACTAAATAGCTATGTCCCATAGACTGAAGCTCTAAACACTGCTGTTTGGATGCTTTATGTGTGATGGTTTGGATTACTTATGTTTTCTTACCCTTAAGTTTTCTTTGTCCTTACTAAAAATGAGTTTGGTTTTTCCTTTCCAGCACAATTACTCCTGTGGTGGGTAAGAAGAGAAAGCGTAATACCTCATCTGATAATTCAGATGTGGAAGTCATGCCTGCACAATCACCCCGGGAAGATGAAGAAAGCAGCATTCAGGTAAAAGGATCCCTGAAGAACTTAGGAAAGTCATTTTCAACTATGGTGGGCAAACCAGGAATAGATACTGAGAGTCTGTAAGTCTGTTCACATTTCTACAGTTGTTGTAAACCAGAGGTAGGACTAAAAGGTGAAAAGACCTGGCCGATATCTTTTAATTTTTGTCTTTTAGGTAAAAAGCATATTATTGTAAAAATAACAATATTTTCCCAAATCCTAGTGCTTCAGAAACTGATCAAACATGAAATCATGCTGTGTGATTGCTGTTATGTTTATGTCAGTACCTTTTCTCCACTTTAGGTTTCTGGCTTTGTGAAGTGGGGTGTTTAGGCAAAAAGTTTTTTCTACCTTTTGAAGATGAGAGACATTGAAAGAGAACGAAAGAAGCCAGACCAGAAGAATTTTAGTCCTCCATCTCTGATTTGTTGCCTTACAGTACCATCTCTGACTCAACTTTCCAACATAGAAAGATCCTGGTATCAAGATTCAGGAGACCCATGGTACTGCTTAAGTAGCTCCGTGGGCCTGGCCAATTCAATTAATCTAGCTGGGTCTGAACTCCTCATCTATAAATGGGAGTTTGGATTAAATGAACCTTAAGTGTCTCTCTGGAACCCTGGTGGCACAGTGGTTAAGAGCTATGGCTGCTAACCAAAAGGCTGGCAGCTCAAATCTACCAGCCGCTGCTTGAAACCCTATGGGGCGGTTCTGTTCTGTCCTATAGGGTTGCTATGAGTTGGAATCAACTCGATGGCAACGAGTTTTTTTTTTTTTTTTTAAGTGTCTCTCTAGCTATTAATGTTTCCAAATGCCTCCCCTCTTTATTCATATACATTTAGTATAGTGACAAAATAATTCTTGGGTTATTCTGGGGGAAATTAACATGTAAGAATACTCAAATTTTTGAAAAGCAAAATGAGGCAAAAATCAGACTTAAAAGACATTAGAGTATATTATGCAGCAATAATTACTAAAAGTTTAGAGTTGAAGAAGAAATAACAGATTAGTAAAAGAGAATACCAAAAAAACCGAACCAAGCCTGTTGCTGTCGAGTCGATTCCAACTCATAGTGAACCTACAAGACAGTAGAAGTGCCCCATAGAGTTTCCAAGGAATATGGTGGATTCGAACTGCTGACCTTTCGGTTAGCAGCTGTAGCACTTAACCACTACGCCACCAGGTTTTCCAAAAGAGAATAGAGTCTAGAAATATACTAGTCATGATTAAAATTGCATTTCAAATCAATGGAGAAAGGAAAGATTATCCAGTAAATTATGTTAGGACAACTGGCAGTCCATTTACAAAAAAAAAAAACAAAAACTGGATTTCTTGCCTTCTTAAACAGAAACAAATTTCAGTTTAATTGAAGGGCTAAATGTAAAAAATGAAATCAGGAAATTTCTATAAAATATGGATAAATTATTTTATATTCATCAGGAGGTATGGCTCTTTCTAAGGGGGATATTAAAATTCAAAAGCCATAAAGGGAAAGAAAGAAAGATAGAATTGACTGTATAAAAATTATAGATGGCATAACAACAAAAAGATTCCATAAACAGCGTAATGGTTAAGAGCATAAACTCTGGAGCCAGTTTGACTGCGTTCTTTCTTACCTCTACCACTTACTGACATTGTCCCTTTGGGCGTGTTACTTAACCTCTTAGTGACTCAGTTTTCTCATCTCTAAAATGCAGATAATCTACCAAATAGTGTTGTTATGCGGATTAAATGTAAGCATTTGTAAAGCACATAGAACAGTGCCTAGCCCATGATAAGAGCACATAGTAAGAGTTATACACATGTTAAATAAATAAAATAGAACTAAACAAAATATTTGTAAATAAACAAAAAACAAACTGAAGGCAATTTTTTTATAATGTAAGAAATACAGAGATGGGTGAAATTTCAATTTCAAAAGTGGTAATGCCAGTGTTGGCAATGAAATTAAGGCTGAGTGTTAATTGGGACAGTCTTGTTGACAAGTCAGCGTTTCAGTATCAGGCAGATTTACATGCTAATGCTCTTTGACCCAGTGATTCTGCACCAAGGAAATTACCTTATGGACGGATACATTCTTAGAAGTATGAAGTGATGTATGTATTGCAGCCACATTTGCAATAGCAAAAACTGCAAAATAACTTAAATGTCCATGATGGAGAAATGGTTAAAGTAATTATGAAAGTCCCTGCAGTAAAATACTACATGGCGATTAAAAACAATGAAGTAGATTGGAGTGTGTTGATATGGAAAGCTCTCCATATTAAAAGAAAAAAACAAGGTATAGAATAGTGTATATATCTCTTTATAGCTTTTAAAGTGTATGTGTGGTGTGTGTGTATGCATCAGTTTTTGTTTTCATTTTTCTGAAAGGAGACATAAGGAATTGTTAAGAATGTATATCTTAAAGGAAAGAAGTTGAAGGGTGGGTGAGTCATGATAATTGTACTTTGAATTTTTGTCCTTTGAAACTGTGAAACTTTTAAAACCCTTTCACCATTGACCATTTTATTTTTTAGTAAAAAAAATTATGACAGTGCAAAAGAAGTTTAGCACTGTAAGAGTCTCCCGTCCTAGACCCCAACCTCACACTCCTCTAATTCTCTTCCCCAGAAGTAACCTCTGTTGCCATTTTTTTGTGTATCTTTCCAGAAATATTCATGACTTTTATGACGACTCTATTTCTACTTTCACTAAATATTGGCATTGTATACCTACTCTTCTGTACTGTGCTTTTTTCCTCCCTAATGATACATCTTGGATGTTGTTCTTTACCAGACAAAGGTATATCTAGCCCCCTCTTTTCTCCTTTCTTTTTTATTGTGAAAATTTTCAAACATACACAAAAGTAGAGAGATTATTTAATCAAGTCCCATGTTCTCATTATTCCACTCCAATACTTGCCAGTAAGTAGCCCTTTATCCCTCCTTCCACTCCAGTCTTGCACCCCTCTGGATTATTTTAAAGCAAATCCAAATAATTTTTTGTGTTTCTTAAATTTTTAAAGTATATTTTATAAGAATACTACATGGTGACTGAGTCCAGTACAGCTAGATGGTGCCCGGCTACCACCACTGACTGCTCTGACCAGGATCACAACAGAGGGTTCTGAACAGAGTTGGAGACGGATGTAGAACATAATTCTAACTCACAAAAAAAAGACCAGATTTACTGGCCTAAAGGAGACTGGAGAAACCCCGAGAGTATGGCCCCCAGACACCCTTTTGCTCAGTGGTGATTTATTTCCAAGGTGCACCGTTCAGCCTGGAAGTGGACAGCCCCGTTAAACCAAATGAGACTAACGAGGTACAGTAGTCCAGTGACAAGGGCCAGAAGGCAGAAGGGGACAAGGAAGCTGGTGATAGGGAACCCAAGGTTGA